ATGATCTGCTGGAGGTGATGGAAGGAACGGAGAAGCACCCCGAGAACGACCCGGAGAAGAGCCCGTGGGTGCGGAAGAGCGCACAAGGCTACCTTCTACTTGGGCAAGCGTTGGGGAGCAGCCAAATCCGTCACATCAAGCCTTTTCAGCGTGAACCAGCAAAGGGACCAAAGGCATGGGCTGCTCTCAAGGGTGTACACGCTCCTGCAACAGCGGCGGTGGCTGTGGTTTTGGAGCGGCAAATGGCGGCACTTCGAATTGACGAAGGCGAACCGGTGGAGGAAGGAGTGCAGAAATTCTTCGACTTGTTGACACGGCTCGAAGGAGCTGACCTGAACTACAGTGACCTTCAAAAGAAGACCAAGCTGCTAGCCTTACTTCCGGACTCATGGTCCTCGCTCATCATCAACCTTAATCGAGATCTGCCCCGTCTCTCACTCGAAGATGTGAAGCGGGAAATCTTACAAGAAGATTTCCGCCGTCGCGAATTGGCGGGTCCCGATGGTGCCGGAGTTGCAAGCATGGGCCGTGGGCACGGCCGTGGAAGGGGCAGAGGGCGAGGAGGCAGATTTGGCAGCAGCAACTTCAATGGAGGCCGTGGTAATGGAGGATATGGCAGCAACAACAATGGCTACGGGCGTGGGCGCGGTCGATTTGATGGCGAATGCCACTTTTGCCACAAGACCGGCCACATGTGGAGAGATTGCTTCAAACTACCTGATGGCTGGACCCCCTCTCAAGGCCAAGAGGGCAGAGGAGCAAGGGGAGGAAGAGGCAGAGGTCGTGGAGGCCGTGGTGGCCGTGGAGGCGAAGCGGCAAGCATGAAAGGTGGAGACTACGACAAGGACTCGAGTGAAGATCGATACCCGGGCCAATTCTTCTTTGTCTCCACGCAAGCGGCAGCTGCAGCAGGAGGTGTGGAAGGCTTTGAGGAGCCAGCTACTGTGGGAAAGGTCACCCTTCACTCTCTGGACTTTTGGGTGATCGATAGCGGCGCCACCTATAGCATGACACCTCGTGCGGACTTGCTCACCGAACTCGAACCGTCGCCGGTCAAGCATGTTACATCGGCTTTGGGACAGCGAGCAGAGGTGAAAGGCATGGGCAAGGCCATGTTCAAGGGTGCTGATGGGAAGATGGTGGGCCTCAAGAACGTGCTTTTGGTGCCCAACCTAGCAGCCAACCTGATTTCCGTTCGGCGTTTGCAAAAGGCCGGCATGGACACATCTTCCAAGGGTTCGAAAACATATACCGCGAGGCTTGGTGAGCGGAAGCTTTGGGACCTTCATGAGGACAGGGACATCTACAATGAGATGTGGCAAATCCCAGTGGTCCCCATGCCTAAGGAGAGGCAAGTGGCAGCAAGCGTCAGCACCAAGAGTGAAGCGGATGGTGGCGGTGATCACGGAAAACAAAGTGACACCAAGAGTGACTCGAAGGAGTGCAATCTTGGAGAGACCAGCAAGGCGTGTGAACCCAAGGAGAGTAGTGCAGCAGCCAAAGGTGGTGGAAATGAGGAGGGGAAACCTAAGATCAGCAAAGCAGCAGCGGCGAAGGAGAAAGGAGAGAGCTTGTGGGACACGATTGCGAGTGCCGCTTTCTCCAACCCGACTTCCGCTACGGGAGAGTGTGATTGGCTGACCTTGCATCGGCGAATGGGGCATGTGGCATTGCCCATTTTGCAGCAGATAGTTAAGCAAGAGATGGTCAGTGGGATACGTGTCAAGGGGGAGCCCAATGAGGTGCTTGGCTGTCCAACATGCATGCAAGCCAAGTTCACCCGCTACCCGTTCCATAGCTCGGAGACAACGGCGAAGGCACCACTTGATGAGGTGGTGATGGATGTGGTGGGCCCCTTGAAGCTTGGAGCTGCTGGAGCTGCGTACTTCCTCACCATTGTGGACGTCTACACTCGCATGACTTGGGTGTATGTGCTGCCAAAGAAGAGTGACGTAGCTGAAACGGTGAAGACCGATTGGTTGCCGATGGTGGAGCGGCAACAAGACCGACTTGTGAAGGCGATTCGCACTGACCGTGGGGGAGAGTTCCTGAGCAAGGATTTCTCAACTTGGCTGAAGAAGCAGGGCATAAGGCACTCTCTTACCATGCCCTACTCTCCTGCAATGAACGGCATCGCCGAGCGTGCGAATCGGACACTCACGGAGACGGCTCGGGGACTTCTCATTGAAGCCGGTCTTCCCAATTACTTTTGGCCGGATGCGGTGCGGCATGCTTGTGTGGCCAAGAACAGAGCCTTGACTCATGTGGGAGAAGACAAATGGGTGCCCTATGTGGAGTGGATTGGAAGGAAGCCGAAGGTGGATATGCTTCGGGTGTTCGGGTGCATGTGCATGGCACTTGTGCCTAAGAAACTTCGGCACAACAAACTTGATGCCAAGGCAACATGGGCCGTGCACCTGGGCATGGCTCAAAACAGCAAGGGATGGCTTCTTTGGGACCCATTTACCAAGAAGTTCTTGGTGAGCAGAGATTGCAAGTTCATGGAGAACTTACCGTACAAGGAGTGGAAGGCGGAGAACCAAGCGAAGATTGGTATGCGGCTTGGAGAGGTGAAGAGTAACGGCTTGGAGCATGTGGAGCTGCCCTTGGAGCTGAGTAGCAGCAGCACAGTCACGAGGCAATCTCCTCAAATGAATGGGGATGAAGAGGAGGAGGAGGTGCAGCAAGGTGATGAGCGTGCACCGTCACTTCCGCCTCGTGCTACAAGTGCTCGTGGGAACCGACCAGATTTACCGCAATGCCATGAGAGCATTCAAGTCCCTGCAGCAGAGGAGGAAGGAAGGGGGAGAAGGAGAACTCAGCCCCCTAATAGGTTGAGCTATGATCGGCTTGGAAGACCAGCCAACTCAACCTTGACCGGTTCGGCTCTCATGCTAGGCGATGATGCGGAAGATGAAAGCGAGGAGTGCGCCTTTGCCTTCTTCTCTCCGGTGGAGATGCCGGGGGAGCCTACAAATCCCAAGGAGGCTTGGGAGGGCCCCAATGGGAAGGAGTGGAAGAAGGCCTCAGATGAAGAAATGGGGAGCATCATCGAGAACGACACGTTTGACTTGGTGAACCTACCTCCGGGGCGTAAGGCGATCTCTTCCAAGTGGCTCTTCAAGCGCAAGACCGACGCCGACGGCAACATCGAGCGCTACAAGAGCAGACTTGTAGCCAAGGGGTATCAGCAGCAAGAGAAGAAGGACTACAATGAAGTGTATGCTCCTGTGGTGAAGGGTACAACCCTTCGAACCCTCTTCGCCGCGGCGGCCATCAAAGGATGGGTGGTGAAGCAAATGGATATCGTAACGGCCTTCCTCAACGGCGTTTTGGAGGAAGAAACCTACATGGAGCAGCCAGAGGGGTACAATGATGGGAGTGGCAGAGTGTGGAAGCTGAAGAAAGCACTCTATGGCCTCAAGCAAGCCCCTAGGCAATGGTACATCAAGCTGCGGGAAGTTTTGGAGGCGATCGGCTTCACTCCCTCAACGGCCGATCAATCGTTGTTCATGCTTGGCGAGGGGGAGCAGAGGAGCTTCATGGTGGTTTATGTGGATGACATCCTTATATTCTCACCCTCCTCTGACCTTGTGAAGGAGGTGATGCTGAAGCTTCAAGACAAGTTCAAGTGCAAGACCCTTGGTGACGTCAACTACTACCTTGGGCTTCACATTGAGCGAGATGTGGAGAAGCGGTGGATGCGAGTGCATCAAAAGAAGTACTTGGAGGCCTTGGCTGCAAACTTTGGGAAGAGTGAAGGTCATGTGGCTACTCCTCTTCCCTCAGGGTTCAAGTGTGTGAAAGGACCAGCGGAGGAAAGTGTTGGTGAAGAGGAGAGGCGCCGTTTTCACTCCTTGGTGGGCAGCCTCATGTATGCGGCCGTTCACACAAGGCCGGATGCAGCCTTTGCTACCGGGCAGCTGGCTAGGGTTGTCCAATGCCCTAATGAAGAGCAGGTAGCAGCTGGAGAGAGAGTGGCCAAGTACCTTGGCCAAACAGCAACTGTTGGACTGCAATACTCCGCGGCGGCACAAAGGCGTCAAAAGGGTGCGGATGGAGTCGAACCCGGGAGGCTTTTTCTCACCGCCTTCTCTGATGCATCTTGGGCATCAGAACCAGAGGACATGACAAGTGTGGGAGGCTTCATCTGCTGTGTTGGTGGAGGGCCAACAGCTTGGGAGAGCAAGAAGCAAGTGGACCAAGCATTGAGCTCGGTGGAGTCCGAGTACATGGCACTCTTCCGTGCCATAAGAGAGGTTGTGTGGCAGCGGCGTTTGCTAGCTGAATTGGGGGAGGAGCAGCAAGGACCTACCCCACTCTACTGTGATAGCCAGGGTGCTATTGCATTGGCTAAGAACCCCGTTCTTCATGGCCTTACCAAGCACATGAAGGTGAAGAGGCATTGGGTGAGGAGCATGGTAACCGCGGGTGAAGTGGAGTTGCACTACGTGAAGACGACGGCGCAGCCAGCTGATATGATGACCAAGAGGCTGGTTGAGCAGCAGCATTGGAAGTGTTGCAAGCTTGCTGGGATGGCTCTGAACTAAGGGGAGCAGATTCTAAGGCCAACAATCCGAGGGGGAGTTTGTTGGTGCAACCCTATGGCTTGCACTCGGCTTGTCGTCCTTGTTTGTGTGTGTGCATGCATGGCATGGAATGAATTGTGAGTCTATGTCATTGCTATCCAGTGCTTGTGTGTGTGTTTGAATGGTGTATCACAATGTGGTTTGTGTCGGTCAAGACATTAGCAAGTTTTTACAACTCGCATGTCAAGTCGTCGTTTGTGTGTCGCATGTGTTTTTTCTATTTTGTCGAGTGTGAAGTGTCGATCGTGTCGCAGGTGTGTGCAGCAAGCCCCCATCAACTCAAGAAGAATTTATCTTGCAGATCCAGGAACAAGAGCTCAAGATTTCAAGCCCAAGGGACGCGGATAAATATTAAATAGTGAAAATAGTAACGTTACTTCGTGTAGTGTTACATTTCACTTGGTGTAGCCCCTTGGAGGGTTGGTTTCGAGACTCTTCATGGTTGGGGACCCTGTGGTGGTGTACCACCAACCTGGACCTCGGCTCTTGGGGTATGTAGAGGCTGGGAACCATCTCCCTCTCGAACTCTTCTTGCTAAGTTTGTACTCCTAAGACTATTGTGGCTGCTATACCTCCTGCCAGTCAAACCGCCATAGCGTCGTCAAATCTTCATGGAATTTCATGATTCAACTTGCTGCTGATAGACGACAGCAACACGCTCCAGATCCAATTTACACATCACCGTTTGATTCAGTGACCAGATCGTTATCAGTATTTGAAGCCGTCTGACAGAAATCCGACTGTGCTCTCTATCTCTCATTATAGGCACATCTAAGCCTATTGTGATTATAACAACTTCCAGAGGACATCAGGTAACCAGGTTTATCTTATCCTAAGGGAATAGACCCTTCTAGAATATAGAATCACCCTGTGTATAGCCACGCGAGGCTATTGGCTTTAAGGGATTACAGCAGGATTACGCTAGATACAGCGCTCAGTACATCCCAAGCCTGGTCGGTGATATAATTATAATAGCAGGATAAACCAAAGGTTAATGGAAAAGGGAGAATAAGATACCAAATGAGATGAGATAAAAGGAGAAATGGAAGGAAAAGGAAATAGGGAAAAGGACCAGTGGTGTAACGGGATCGTACTCTCACAGCTCTCCGCCTGCTTGGCCTTCCCTCCCCGGACCGCTCGCCGGTGTCTCCCCCACCGCCTGCTGACCTTCCTGTCTACGGTCCTATGTTCCCGCCGCCGGACTCGTCTCCGGCCCATCTTCCTCCTCGTTCCCCTCATGTGTCCCCTCCGCTGTTCCCTGACCTTACACCTCCGTCCCACGTTTTGTCTCGCCGTCCATCCCGTGCTCGTCCCGTCTCTCCTGTCCTGCGCTCCCACCCAATGTTGCTCCGTTCCCCCTCGTCTCGTCCTTCCCTCCTCCCGTCCCCTCCTCCCTCCTCGCTTGCTGTTGCACCTCCTCCGTTCTCTGACTACCTCCGTGCCGCTCGTCCCCTTGTCCGTCGGGTCCTTGCCTCTCTTGTTACCTTCCCTGCTGTTCCAGTCTCGCGCCTTGACGCGCTTATCGCTGCTGTCGCTGACTTCACCTCTACCCGCCGCCTTGACTACGCTACCGCTCTGGTCTCTGACTCTGCCCGTCCTCCGTTCGTCGGGGGTGCTCCTGCCCTTGGCAGTGACGTCCTAGAGGACAGGCAGTACGAGCTTGCTTTCCTTTCCGAGGCTGCTCCCCATCTCTGCTCCATGCAGTTAGTCCCTGAGGGTGACCCAGTCGCCTTCGACATCCCGACCCTCAGTGGATAGCTACCATGGAGCAGGAGATGGCATCTTGGAGGTCCACCGGCACGTCGACGCAGTTCCCCCGCCTGGGGTGAACGTAGTCGATGGTCGGTGGCTCTTCAAGGTGAAGCACCCCCCTGGAGAGCCGCCTGTGTTCAAGGCGCGCTACGTGGCCAGAGGCTTCAGTCAGCGCGAGGGGGTTGACTTCTTCCAGACCATCGCCTCGACCCCGAAGATGACCACTCTTCGGGCGCTGCTATACGTAGCAGCACAACGCGACTACGAGCTTCACTCCCTCGACTTCTCTACTGCCTTTCTTCACGGCAGCCTACACGAGCAGGTCTACCTGCGCCGACCACAGGGCTTCACCGGTACCTTCCCCCCTGGGACCCAGTGGCTTTTCAGGCGCCTGGTCTACGGCCTGCGTCAGGCTCCCCGCGAATGGCACGATACGCTGCGTGCCACGTTAGCAGACCTGCAGTTCTTTCCGTCCTCTGCTGACCCCTCAATGTTTTTGCGTTCCGGCCAGACTCCGTTCTACATCCTTGTTTACGTAGACAATCTGGTCTTCGCTACTGCTGACAGGGACGCACTGGCCTCTGTGAAGGCCGAGTTGCTGAAGAGACACACCTCTTCTGACCTTGGAGAGCTGCGTCGCTATCTTGGCCTGCAGATCTCTAGGGACAGAGCAGCACGCACATCACTCTGACACAGTCACAGTTGGTGCGTCAGGTCCTTCAGAGGTTCGGTCTTCAGTTCTCCTCCGCACAGCTCACACCTCTACCTGTTGACCATGGGCTCTCCGCTCCTGTTCCTGAAGAGCCAGTAGAGCCCAGTGGCCCCAACGCAGAGCTGGTGGGTTGCCTCATGTACCTGATGACTTGCACTCGCCCTGATCTCGCATACCCTCTCAGCATCCTGGCTCGCTTTGTGGCTACAGGCAGACACCGACCTCAGCACTGGTCTGCCGCTAAGAGGGTTTTGCGTTATCTTGCTAGTACATCGGGCATGGGGTTAGTGCTAGGAGGACGCAGGCCAGTGGTCCTTACTGGGCACACAGACGCTTCTTGGGCAGACGACTCTGAGACGCTTAGGTCGTCGCAGGGCTACTATTTTAGCCTTGGTTCGGGTGCTATCTCTTGGAGATCCACTCGCTCGTCGTCTGTGGCTCAGTCCAGCTGTGAGGCTGAGATCTACGCTAGTGCCATGGCGGCACAGGAGCTCCGCTGGCTGACCTTCTTGCTCACTGACTTAGGTGAGCGGCCTAGCTCTGCCCTGGTCCTGTACGCTGACAACAGGGCCATGATACTCCTGTGTCAGGAGCCTCGGCTTGAGGGCAGAGCGAAGCATATCTAGCTGCGGTACTTCCTGCTGCGCGAGTTACAGCAGCGCCGCCAGGCCCGCGTAGTTCACTCGGCCTCAGGTGCCAACACAGCTGATATCTTTACGAAGGCGCTTGCGCCTAAAGATCATCAGCGGCACTGTGTACAGCTTGGTCTTGTTCCTGTAGCTACTCACCTGTTAGGATCTTGATTGTGTACTCTCTATTATATATACCTGTCAGACTGGCCTTATTGCCTTACCTCCTGTGGCTGGACTAGTAGTGTCGCCCTGGCTTGCTTTAGTCTTGTTTGTACTCTTGCTGACTGGTCTCCAGACCCCTGCCTCAGTGGTTGGACTAGTAGTGCCACCGTGAGCTGTTTGCTTCTTGCTTAGCTTCACCCCTTGTCTAGCCTAGGGGGTGTGTCAACTTATACATATTAGCTATGTAGAAGTTATAGGCTAGACTGGGGTATGCTTCTAGTGAGTACAACCAACTAGTATTTGTTCTAGGTTTCTCCTTCTAGTTGAATCATTCAGTTCTTACTTTAACGCAAACGCCTTGTAACCTCACATGGCTCGGAACCAGTCGGAGCAGAATATTGTGTGCAGGCAGCGTGTAACAGAGCATTAAGGTGATTTAGGATCTATCCTTACGTGTTTCTTCTTTGGAATGTGCTACCTCTGTAAACCTCGCGGGGCTTAACAGCACCACGTGGAGCCAAATAGGGGACAGAAGGGAGGGATAATGTGAGCGTCTTCTCTCTCCATGCCATACGTGTTTTCAGTGTCACCTTGTTCTCCATCATCTTCATCCTCCTCCAAAACCCCCTCTCCTTCATCTTCATCTCTCCATCTTCCTCCCCCACCTCCAAATCCCCCTCTCCTTTGTCTTCATCTCTCCATCTTCCTCCCCCACCTCCAAATCCCCCTCTCCTTCATCTTCATCTCTCCAACTTCCTCCCCCACCTCCAAATCCCCCTCTCCTTCATCTTCATCTCTCCATCTTCCTCCCCCTCCTCCGCCTCTACCCCTCCTCCGCCTCTCCCACACCCTCCTCTTCCTCTCCCTCACCAATTCAACCATCTCAGTCTTCCTCATCCTCGCTCATCGTCCCTGTCGTCTTCGCTCTCCATGCCATACTCATGCTCAGCGTCCTCTTACTCTTCATTCCCCATCACAAGTCACCATCATCTCAGTCTTCCTCATCCTCGCTCTCCACCGCCCAGCGTCGCTCGTCATCCCTGTCATCGTCACTCTCCATGCCATACGCGTGCTCAATGTCATCATCCTCCTCCTCGTCCTCCTTCTAATCCTCGTCCTCCTCATCTTCCTCTTCTGCCCCCTCCTCTCTTTCCTCCCCCTCTTCCTCCCCCTCCCCCTCCCCCTCTCCCGCTTCCTCCCCCTCTTCCTCCCCCTCCCCCTCCCCCTCTTCCTCCCTCTCTCTCCCTCCCTCCTCACCATTCACCACGCCCCGCTGTCCTAGAATCACCCGCGGGTCTCGCCGTGAAAGCAAGCTGCATTCACGGATGTCGCATCGGCACAGCGCCGCCATTTCACCGAGGGAGGACGGCAAATGAGCAAGCCGATTGCGTGCCTTCACCTCTAGCACTCGCAGGCGAGGCAGTTGAGTGAAAGAATCCGCCAATCTCTACAGATTTTTCAGCCCTAGAAGCACCAATTCCTGCAGAGAAGACAGCTTGCAGAAATCGCTGGGATGAACGGAAGGCCAAGTTTGACGAGAGTGCACGATTGCAGCTGGGGCAGATTCGAAAACGAATCCGAAAGTCGCATCAGCCTGAAGCAATCAATTATTTAGAGCTTTTCGAGCATTTTCAGCTGCCCGAAAGAATCAGGCAGCTCACGCAAATTCATGAGGCCAACCAGCTCAAGAGAACGAAGCCCTGGCAGACCTCTCTGGGTCTCTGGCAGTACTTTCAGCTCCCAGGCGTGCGAAATCCGTAGCCTTTGCAGCTGCGAGAGTTGGGACATGGAATCCGGAAGCGTTTCAAGAAAGCTCATGTCAAGAAGCTCAGTTTCGTTAGAGAGGGCAGGTGGCCAAAGGGCGGGCCAAAGGACTCGAAAGAAAGATCTTTGATCTTGAGACACTGTAGAGATGGAAGCAGTGTGCTGCTCATGCTAGCGTTAGGACAGCTAGCGGTGCTACCGCCGCCACTGCCGCTGCCGCTGCTGATGCTGTCGCACGAACCACTGCCGGCAGTCCGTTTGAACACCACTTGGGTGCCATAGGTCTTTACGTGGCAGCAACTTTAGAAACGCTTAAGTAAAACGAGCGTAGAGCTTGCTTAAAAACCTTTGTGAAGATTTTGATGGTAACCGGTTTCGGCTCGAGAGCCTTCTTCAGACCACAAAGCAATAAGCAGACTAGCTAGCCTATAAATACCACCTCGAGGACTCTTCGCGAGGCATTCCTCTGCGGGGTCTCGACGATGGCAAGGGAAAGAGAGATAAAACAAACAGTACAAATATACTGTAGTCTAACACTTATGAGCAAAAATAAGAAAATTTCCAGCTCTCTTCGGCAGCCTCCAAGCGAGAATGGTTCTTCTTGAAGCGAAAGTTCCGCGTGACATTGTAACGAGATGACTTTTGAGTCGACTAAAAATGTTCCCCAAGCGCGAACGGTCAACCAGAGGGTTGAGAAGAAGTTTCAGCACCAGGGGGTCACGGTTCGCAGAAGATTGAAATGAAGAGGCGCGTTGAAGAAGTTCCCCACGGTTAGCAAAAGAAACCGACTTAAACACCGGCAGTATAAACTTTTCCGGGTACCCACGCGCTCTAAGCCGAGCAAAGAAAAGTGCGCGGGAATTGACGAAGTCAGCTCGTGAAGACGAGAGCAAAAGAAATCTTTGTAGCTCACTCCAGATAAAACCCAGCTTCGTAGACCGAGTATGATAGGACTTAAACGGAAGGTAAAGGTACCGATTCATCGGCTTCTGAAACAGCTTCAAGTCCAAAATGCCAAAATCTTGAAACCTTTTTCCTTTAAACACCGTAAGATCTAGAAAATCCATAGAAGTTTCTGAAATCACCCAGGTCAGCCGGATTGAAGGATGAAGGGTGTCGAAACGTTGCTTTATGTAGTTGAATTCATCCCTTGTTCCTTCCCACAAAATCAAACCGTCATCAATGAAACGAAGGTGAAGAGCGGGAGGGAATTTGGGCGAAGCATGCAGTTGAAGGTCCAGAAAGCTCAGGAACAGGACTGCGAAACAAACTGCAACGGACGTCTTCATGGCCGTTCCGTGAATTTGTCGGAAAAACCGGCCGTTAAACGAGACATAGCTGTTGAACATAACCCATCAAAGTAGACGAATAATGAGTGGAGCCAAAGGATGTCGTTCTTTATTAAGAAAGTAAGCGACTACGTCAATGCCATCCCAGAGTGGAATTGAAGGGTAGAGTGACTCCACGTCATACAATGCTAGGAGAAGTTTTTTGGAAAAAACACGCCGCTCCAGTTGAAGAATAAGACTCTGGGAGTCTTTAACAGATGTAGACTGCTTCAGAACAATAGGCCTGAGGACTGAGTCAAGCCAACGAGAGACGTTAGTGGTGATCCAGGAGTGCGAGGCTGCGATCGGCCGGCCAGCAGGGACTTTTTTATGAATCTTCAAGAGCACGTAGAAGGCAGGAACCCTCCATCCATTAGTCGGCTTCGTGAAGAAAGAATCCCTGGTTCTGGCTGGTAGAAGCGGGTGAAAATCCTCGCGAATCCCATGTAGATCTCTAAGAATATTTTCAACCAGGACAGAAGAAAACTCCTTATAGACTTGGCCGTTATGAAGGTGTTCGAAGCATTTAGCTTGATAAAACTCCTTGCTCATAACAGTCAGTCCGAGGTTCTTGTCTGCCGGTTTAAAAATGAGATCTGGATTCCTTGCGAGACGACGAAGCGTAGATATGACATTCGTCGATTTCCGGGTGAGTGTCGAAAAATCTTGTTCAGCGACTTGTTTTAAAGCTGCATCCTTAAAAATTGCCAAAGCCGTCTCGATTTCCGAAGAGGCTAGCGGCGGATTCCAGTTGGTTCATTTGGGTAACTTCTACCCTGAAAGATCATAAAAAGAGTCAGTTCCATTAAACACATACATCGTACGAACACTGCGAAAGAAAGACGTTAAGCTCTGGATGATGCGGATGACAGGTACGGGTATATACTTCAGTCCTAAACTAAGCAGATTCAGCTCGCGACGTGAGAAGACATGGTTACTGTAGTTGTGGATCCCGCGGTTGGTGACTCGACACTGCAGCTGATACTCCGTCTGTCGCCCGAAGAGTATCAATGCGTACGCATGCACATCATCAACTAGCGTCGAGCAGTTTTTCCGCGATCTCCACCTCCCCCGTTTTTTGCGGCATGACTGCCACGATTGCCAGGGGTGCGCTGCGAAGTCTTCGCAAATGACTTTCCCATTGTCTTCTCAGCATGCTTATCAGGAGAAATCTACTTCTTTTTTTCCGTCGGCTTCGGCTTCTTGCCATTACGCGTGCCAGTCCTCTTGGACTTGAGATCAGCAACAGGGCTCTTCTTGATAGAAACCCCATTCTTGCTCTTCGGAGTATTCTTCTTCTTGGCACCTCGCTGGCTCTTGTCGTTGCTAGCAGTGGCCGGTTTAGAACTTTGGTGCAAAATCTTCGCCACTTCCTGGCGGAAGGGTTTCAGCTTCAGCAATCGCGGCTGCCTTCGTTGCGTCAAGTTCCTCCTTTTTCTGCTTCAGCAATGTTTCAGTCATATTAGTGTCCAAGTAGAACATTGAAATCGAGTTCAGGTACTCCAAAATCACGCGACTCTTGAAAAAATCCAAGTTGTCGAAAAGCTTAGGATGCTTGATTCCAAGGTCCGACTTCTTGTTAAAATTGATAAAATGGTCGAGGTTGTTCTGTAGCGACTGAAGGACAGCAGTAGCCTCGCCATAAGCTTGGTCATCAGCCTTCTTCTTCATCGCGATCAAAATTTTGTGAGCATTCTGACAACACTTCAATCTAGCGGCTTCGAGGTCCTTATCGGCTTCGAGGCGAAGATCTTCGGTATTGCAGACAAAAGTGAACGGCTTGATCCGAATAGAATGCGGAATGATGCCGTTTTTCTTCTGATCCACCATGAAGGCGTGCTGCTGCATCAGGGTCCGGTACTTGAGAAAGAACTTCTTAAAGTCGGAAACAGCCTGATTCTTAAAAATGTTAAACTGAGCAGGAGTCGCTTGTTTCTTGAGAAAATCATCGTTAAAAGCACCAAGAAAATCCAAGGTGTCCGACATAAAAGTGTCGCGAGGAATAGGAATATCCTCAAATCCTTGAACTGCTTCCTATCGGGGAACCGAACTGGAGCTGGGCAAAGCCATTGCCACAGGAATAACCCTGGGAGCGTCGATTGTCGTAGCAAGAGTAGCCTCGGAAAAAGCTCGAGCCTTGTTATGACGGGAAGCGGAAGGAGAAGTGGGTATCTCCTTTTATGAGACGACCACCTCTTTATCAGGGTTCTCTTTTGGAAAAAAACATGTCTGAGGAATCAGACAAGGTTTGAGCATTTTGTCTGATGCACTTTTCACAATCAGAGAAGTAGGAAAAATTTGTCTGATTTTTCAGAGAATTCTAGAACGAATGTCTTAAAAAATCAGAGAAATGTATTTGCATAGTTTGTTTGCATGAGATGATGAGACTTGCAGCACTTCGACTAATTAGCGGTTGCGGGTTACAAACGAGCAAAACCGCTAAGCGTCCAAACCAGCGACTCTGCTAGGATTTTCGACCGTCTGAAAATCAGAGTTGGCTTTGAACTTCCATCTAACCGTCATACGAAGACTTAGGGCGTGTCCAGCTAGTTCATTTTGCCCTAAGACGTGCTTTTTACGTCTCTGTACATGCTCAGAAAAATGTTACGGGCAATGTAGATGTCGCGAGGTTCACCTTTTTTACCAAAGAGAGCATGTTTGCCTCGGCCTTGTATCCAGCCTTTGACACGACAAATGCTCTGCGCAGCGAAAACCAAAAGATCTTGCTGAAAGAAATGGAGTTACTGTATTAGGAGGCCTCGTTGTTTTTGCCACGGCATTGACGAATCTGCCCGAATATGACGAAGTCGTGTACAGTGGGTATGCTCTATGCTCCAAATCCGCGACTCGCAAATATGGACTACGACGAATAGGAGCGGTTCACAACGGGCAAAATGGATAATCGAGTAGCACGAGTGGTTTTAGGTGGGGTGGCGTAGGCCGTTTTACTCGTTCTGTTCACGATGGGTGCCTTTGCGTATTGGCCAATGGGCCAGGTTACCAGCGATTTCGCCGCGTGTCATGTGAGGGCTCATGTGGCTTCTTAAAAAACACTCAACGAATTTGTCGTCTGATCAGAATTATTGTGGGCAAAAGAAGTAACACCTCGTTCTCGACCTTCCCGCGAGCAACGCATGCTCCAAAACGCGCAAATCAAATAATTTGGAAAACCCTTTTCGTGGTCTCACGAAAAGGGCTTAACGGAACGAAATTTTGACGACTGAATTGAGCGGTTTCGTTATCCAGTCACACGTTTTAACGACAGTGAAAAAAACCCCTTGAGAAAAACCCTTTTCGAAATGTGCAGTTGTTAATGGTGATTGAGGGACCGTGGGTCGTGTTTTCGTATTCGCGACGGACCTGTTCGTGTCACGCGGGAAGCCTGGATATTTACGTGATTGGTTCTAAAATATGGAAAATGCCTCGAATGCTTTTGAGACGAAGATTAGAATAGGGCCGTAATAATAAGACAATGGATGAAAAGGGGGTACAAATTCATGCCCATGTCAGCGCGCATGCAAAAGTGCTAGGTGGACAGGGGTCTGTGATTTTGTGTTCGCCCCCCCGGTCCATCGTGCTTACGTCGGATCGCCCTGGCAAGCGCGTATTGGCCGAGCAATTCCAAGCACAATTCACGGGGAATTTCCGAGCTCGCACTCGTGGGTTGGTTGGCGACGCTCGCAGGCTGCGATCGCACCCACTTCGGGTGGCGAGAATCGATGGTCGGTGGCATTATGCGACTGTCGTGATTGGTCACGATGTTCTTTTGCGCTTTTTTAGCGAAGTCTAACAGTAGATGTATACCGAACAGACGGAGTACATCGTGGTGGATCTTATCAAATTCCGGACCTTGGAGTATTATATGGAGTAAAATGTCACGAACATAATGGCATACCCGCTGTATGTACTTTTCGTCAACCATGATTTGTCGTTTTTGGCGGGAGTTCATTTCGGGCACGATTTCCAGCCGATTTCGAAACGTGCGCAACAGGACTGCTGGCACGTTTCGAGAGCGTCCGCTAAGAACGCACACTTTTCGAGCGGGTCCTAGGGGCAATGTGACTCACATGACGTGTCACGTGCAGACAACCCTCTCTTTTGGCCCTGCCGTTTCAGGGTTTGCCCCCGCCCCCAAGTGGTATGGGGAGGGATGACTCTGATGGGGGGGGGGGGGGGCTTAGCTGATTTTTTTGGGGTGCGAGGGGTGTGGGTGTGGGTGGGGAGGAATGTCTCTGGTGAGGGGAACTTAGCCGATTTTTTTGGGATGCGAGGTGTGTGGGTGTGGGTGGGGAGGAATGTGTCTGGTGTGGGGAACTTAGCCGATTTTTTTGGATGCGAGGGTTGTGTGGGGAGGAATGTCTCTGGTGTGGGGGACTTAGCCGAAATCTTTGGGGTGTGACGGGTGTGTGTGGAGCCGGTACACATGTATGTCTCTGTTTCAGAGAAACTCGATTCACTTGTCTAAAAATCAGAGAAACCGGTACACCTAGTCTGAGAAATTCAGAGAAATCTTAAAAGCTTGTCTAGGCCAATCAGAGTTTTTACAAACCGTTGTCTGAAAAATCAGAGAAACCCCTAAAAACCAGTATGAAAATCAGACAATCAGACAAAAAAAATCTGCTATTTAGGACCCTGCTCTTTATCCCTGCGAGTAGCCTGCCTGAAATTAGCAATGCGCTGTGAATTTCTTGTTGGCCTCGGGGGTGTCGGAGCGCGGTCAGTCTTGGTGCTTGTTGGTGTTGTTTTGGTAGCGTTGAATTTGTAGTTGGTCATCGTAGGATCGAGAGAAATTCCGAGTGAACACTACTTGGGTGCCATAGGTCTTTACGTGGCAGCAACTTTGGAAACGCTCAAGTAAAACGAGCGTAGAGCTTGCTTAAAAACCTTTGTGAAGATTTTGATGGTAACCGGTTTCGGCTCGAGAGCCTTCTTCAGACCACAAAGAAATAAGCAGACTAGCTAGCCTATAAATACCACCTCGAGGACTCCTCGTGAGGCATTCCTTTGCGGGGTCTCGACGATGGCAAGGGAAAGAGAGATAAAACAAACAGTACAAATACACTGTAGTCTAACACTTATGAGCAGAAATAAGAAAATTTCCAGCTCTCTTCGGCAGCCTCCAAGCGAGAATGGTTCTTCTTGAAGCGAAAGTTCCGTGTGACATTGTAACGAGATGACTTTTGAGTCGACTCAAAAGTCATCTGCTGCTGCCGCTGCTGATGCTGACTGTTCACGTTACTGTTTCATAAGTTGTTATTAGTGTTTGTATCGGATTGCGTAACGGGAGGGTATCGGCAACGGCTAGGAGCGGTTGAGACGGAAGCGGCAGCGAACACGACCTTGCGGTGTCGAGCAATTTTTCGCCACCCCCTCGATCTCGCCACCGCGCCTCGGCATCCCTCGCGTCACTTTACTGTGTCATAGGATGTTACAAGTGTTTGTATCGGAGGCGTAACGGGAAGGTATCGGCAACGGCTAGGAGCGGGTGAGACGGAAGCGGCGGCGAACACGACCCTGCGGTGTCGAGCAATTTTTTCGCCACCCCCGTCGATCTCGCCATCCCACCCCGGCAAAGTCCCCCGTCACTCTCGCTCGCCTCCCACTCCGCTCTCTCTCTCCCTCCAAGACTGCCGCGTCGCACGCTTCTCAGCTTTCTAGTTTCTAAAGCTTAGAACCACGCCACGCGACCTAACCCTAAAATAGTCCCTCTGCATGGTATCGTTTTTCACGATGCCCTTTCCTCCCCCGCTAAGCGCTCGACATTAGGTAAGCACCCACGTCATTTCCCCCCCTCTTACTTAGTGTACCCTTCCTGTATTTCCTGCGCGAAACTAGGTGAGAACCACGGCTGAGCCTGACACCGCGGTTACCTTTTCTTAGCCCGCCGTTCATCTCCTTCCCTGCCAGCCGTTTTCCATCCGTTCCTGCCCGGCGTTTCCCCCGTCCCTGCTCGCGCGTCACCCCTCTCTCCCAGCACGCGTCACTCCCTTCCCTGCTCGCCGTCTGTCCCTTCCCTGCTCGCCGTCTGTCCCTTCCCTGCTCGCCGCCCGTCCCTTCCCTGCTCGCCGTCCATCCCGTCCCTGCTGGCCGTCCATCCCTTCCCTGCTCGCCGTCCCTCCCTTCCCTGCTCGCCGCCCCTCCCTTCCCACCTCGCCGTCCCTCTTCATTTCCTGCCTGCCCTCCCTGTTTTCCCAGCACGTTGTCCCCCATCCCCCTGTTTGACGTCCCCTCCGACCCTGCTCGCCGTCCCCCCCCCATTTTCCCTGCTCAACGTCCCCTCCGCCCCCGCTCGCCATTTCCCCCTGCTCGCCATTTCCCCCCCTGTCTAGCTTGCCACTTTCCCCTTTCCCCAGCTCGCAACTAACCCCTCTCCCCAGCACGCCACCTTGCCCTCTGTCCAACTCACCGCTTCCCCCTCCCTTGCCGCTGCTCCCCCCCCCCTCTTGGCCGCTGTTTTTCCCCCTCCTTGCCGCAGCTTTTACCCCCCTTTGCCCGCGGCTTTCCCCCCGGCTGCTGTTTTTCCCCACGTTGCCCCCTGCTTTTCCACCCTCGCCCGCTCCTTCTCCCCCCTTTTGCCCGCGGCTTTTCCTCCCATCGCCCGCCGCTTTCCCCCCTTGCCGCTGCTTTCCCCCCTCGCCGCTTTCCCCCCTTGCCGCTGCTTTCTCCCCTCGCCTCGCCTTTTGCTTTGCTGTGTTCCCCCCCCCCCCTTGCAGCCGTTTTCCCCCCCCTGCCGCTGCTTTTCCCCCCCTTGCCGCTGCTTTCCCCCCTTGCCGCTACCTTTCATCCCCTAGCCGCTGCTCTTCCCCGCTCCCCTGCCCTCTGCTCCCCCGCTTCCCTGCCCGCTGCTCCCCCGCTCCCCTGCCCGCTGCTCCCCCGCTTCCCTGCCCGCTGTTCCCCCGTTATCTGCCCGTCGTCCCCCACTCCCCTGCCCGCTGTTCTCCCCAATCGCCCACCCGCTGTCCCAGACCTCCCCGCCCGCCGTACTTTCCTTCCCAGCTCGCCGTCCCCCCTACCTTCCTGCCTGTTCAACAGCACTTCTTGTCCGGGCTTCCCCTACTCCCTCCCTGGTCCCCCCTCCTTCCCCGCCATGCTTCCCCCTACACTCCCTCCAGTTTCCCCCTAGTATCTCCCTGTCTCCCCCACCCCTCACACCCGTTCTCTGCTATCTCCCCCACTGTTCCCCGGTTGCCTGCCCCCTGTTTCCCCCATCCCACCCCCCGTGCCCACCACCTTTCCCCCCCTGGCCCACTGCTGTTCCCCTCCTTGCCCACTCATTTTCTCTCCTTGCCCACTGCTTGTCCCTACGCGCCCCGTGATTTTCCCCCCTTGCCCACTCATCTTCCCCACGTGCCCACTGCCTCCCCCCCTGGCCCACTGCTGCTCCCCCCTTGCCTTCTATTTTTCTCCTAGCTGCCCACTGCTACTTTTCCCCGCTGCCTTCCCCCACCTGCCCCCTGCTGTTCCCCCCTTGCTGCTGCCCTTTCCCCCTTGCCGCTGCCTTTCCTCCCCTTGGCGGCTGTTTTTCCCCCCTTCGTCCGCTGTTTTTCCCCCTCTTTCGCGGCTATTTGTCCCCCCTTCGCCCGCCACTTTTCCCCACCCTGCCCGCTTCATTTCCCCCGCCCCTTCTTGCCCGCCGCTTTTCCCCACTTGCCGCCGCTTTTCGCCCCTTGCCGCAGCTTTTCCCCCCCTGCCGCTGCTTTTCTCCTCGTTGCCCGCCGCTTTTCACCCCTTGTTGCTGTTTTTCCCCCCCTTGCCTTCTATTTTTCTCCTTGCTGCCCACTGCTACTTTTCCCCGCTGCCTTCCCCCACTTGCCCCCTGCTTTTCCCCCACTTGCCCGCTGCTGTTTCCCCCCCTGGCTGCCGCTTTTTCCCCCTTGCCGCTGCCTTTCCTCCCCTTGGCGGCTGTTTTTCCCCCCCTTTCGCCCGCCGTTTCCCCCCCCCCTTTTGCGGCTGTTATCCCCCCTTCGCCCGCCGCTTTTCTGCGCCTTGCCCTCTTCTTTTCCCCCGCCCCTTCTTGCCCGCCGCTTTTCCGCGCCTTGCCCTCTTCTTTTCCCCCGCCCCTTCTTGCCCGCCGCTTTTCCCCACTTGCCGCCGCTTTTCGCCCCTTGCTGCTGTTTTCCCCCCCCCTGCCGCTGCTTTTCTCCTCTTTGCCTGCTGCTTTGCACCCCTTGTTGCCGTTTCCCCCCCCCCCTTTTTGCCGCTGCTTCCCCCACCCCTCGCCCACTGCTTTTTCCCTGCCCTGCCCGTTGCATTTCCCCTCTTTGCCCCTGCCCTCCCCCCCCCTTACCCGCTGTTATCTCCCCCCCTGTCCGTTGCTGTTCCCCCTTTTGCCCGCTGCTGTCCCCCCCCATACCTGTGGCCTTTCCCACCCTTGCCCGCTGCTTTTCCCCCCCTTGCCGCTCCTCTTTCCCCCTTGCTCGCTGCTTCTCCCCCCTTGCCCGTTGCTTTACCCTCCCTTGCCCCTGCTTTCCCCCCCTCTGCCCGCTGTTATTCGCACATTGCCTGCTGCTTTTCCCCTGGTCTGCTGCTTCTCCCCCCTTGCCTGCTGCTATTTACCCCCTGGCCCGCTGCTTTTTCCTCCTGCCCGTTTTGCGGCCCATTTGGTCCCACCCATCCTTCGGTCCTCTCTCCACTCCCGACCCTCTCCTTTGACTGTCCAATTCCCCCCCACATTCCCCCATTTTCTTTGTGTTCCTCCCTTCCTTCTCCCCTTGGTTCCCCCACTCTTGTCCCCTCCTGCTCTCCCCTACTGTTCCCCGTTGCTTCCCCCTCGTATTCTATCCTGCTTTCCTCTCCTTTCCCCCCGTTTCCCCTCCTCTCCCCCTTGCCCACGACTTCTCCCCCTTGCCCACTACTTCTCCCCCATTGCCCACTGCTTCTCCCCCCCTTGCCCACGATTTCTCTCCCATTGCCCACTGCCTCTCCCCCCTTGCCCACCACTTCTTCTCGTTTGCCCACTGCTGTTCCCCTCCTTGCCCTCTACTCTTTCCCCGCTGCCCACCGACTTTCCCCCCTAGCCCACTGATTTCCCCCCTTACCCGTTGCTCTTCGCCTCTTTGTCCAGTGCGTTTCTCCCCTTCCCTCACTGCTTTTCTGCCCCTTGCCCTTTGACTTTCCCCTCCTTGCTCCCACCAAATCACACGTCAGTTTCCTCCCTCGAAATCTTCCCGCCCCACACCCTGTGCTCTTCACTCTTCCCCCCCCTCCCCTTCCACGTCCCCCCTCTCCCTGCAGGCTGTTTCTTTCCATCTTGTCCAATCCCCGTTTCCCCACCTTCCCCCCGTACGCGTCCCCACAGTCGAGCTCCATAACCCGCCCCTAATCGCTGCCCCCTGTTTTTTCCCTATCCTCCCCCCCCCTGTCCCCCTCCCCACTCCACGCAGTTTCTCTGATCTCACCTTCTTTTCCCGCTGTTTTCCTCCCTCCCTTCCCCCCTTGCCTCCCCCTCCTCCCCTTCTTCTAGCATGCAGCCCCCGTGGCCATGACCCACACCCCCTGCAAGGGGGGGAGGGCGGCCCCGGTGCACTCTGCCGGTCAGGCAGAGCCGGTGGCCGCCCTTCCCCCTACTCATCGCCTTCCATCCCCCCACCCAACAGTATCGCCCCGCCAGCCCGAGTCGAGGTGACCATCGGCAAGGGCGGGGACCAGGTGCGCTCTGCCTCGCGAGGCCAGAAACGACCACGGGAGAAGGCGGAGGAAGGCCATGCCTCACGCCTGGAGAAGCAGGAGCGCGAAGCCACACGCTCGCGCTCCCATGGTCGCAAAAAGTCATCTGTCCCCCCTCCGCCACTCCCACAGGCCAACACTAGCACCAGGAGAGCCCCCACCTCCTCCACACCCAGGGCCACAGTTAGCAAGGCTGGCACAGGTGAGGCCGCAGCAGGGCCTGTGGCAGGGGATGGGGATGCGGCAGCACCGGGGGGTCCCGCAGAGGTGGCAGTGGAGATGGGGGTGTGGGAGGGGAAAGAGGGGGTGACGGAGAGGGCAGAAGGGGAAAGATCGGCAGGGACGGTGGGGGCTGGTGAGGACTCAGAGTGGGACGAGGCTGGGGACTCGGATGGGGACAACGCGAAGGACTCGGATGATGATGTAGTCGAGCTTATAGCACCCGCTCCTAGTGCAGCCAGGCTCGAGGCCGTGTCCTCAGCAGGGGAGCCAGCGACCGGAGCTGTAGGGTCGGCAGGAGCGGAAACTGGAGCGGAGGCGGAGGGGGAGGTGGCACGGGCTGGGGCAGAGAGGGCCGCATTAGGGGGTATGGCCCGGGCCTATGCGCGGTCCATGGCCGCATGTGGTGCGGCGCCGGAGGCAGCGGCAGGAGAGGCTGCAGGTGTGGCAACAGCAGGGGCGGTTGCAACAGTGGCAGCCATCGGGACCGCGGCAAAGGAGGCTGCCGCAGGAGTCACCGCAGGGGGTACTCCAGCGGAGGCTGCTACGGCAGAGGCAGAGGCAGGAGAGGCTGCAGGGGGGAATGTGGAAAAGGCGGCTGCAGAGGCGGCAGCAGCACAGGCTGTAGCCGCAGGGGGAGGAACGACAGCCGTGGTAGGAGGGGCGGCTGTGGGGGCTGCCGCAAAGGCCTTTGCAGAAGTGGCAGCAGCTCCGGCACCGGCAGAGGCGCGGGCATCGGGGCCGGCTGCAGCGGGGGTGGCAGAAGGAGACCCTGCGGAGGCAGCGGCCGCTAGGGGTGTGGCCGCTCCAGAGGTGGCAGCAGCCGGGGGGGTGGTTGCTGCGGCGGCAGCAGCAGCTGGGGCTGCTGCAGAGGCAGGGGCAGCGGGAGCATGGGCAGCGGCGGCGACAGCTGGGGCCTCCGCGGAGGTGGCAGCGGAGGATCATGCACGGGGTGCATCGGCTCGGGCTCGGGATGCGGCAGAGGCAGCAGCAGCAGGGGCCTTAGCGGCCGCAGGGGCAGCCAGGGCTGATCTGGGGGTAGCAGCAGCAACAGGCGGCCCTGCAGAGGCGGCAGAGGCGGGAGCTGTGGAGAAGGTGGCAGCAGCAGTAGCTGGGGCTGCCACCGCAGAGGAGGCAGCAGAGGAGGCAGCAGCAGGCGATCTTGCGAGGGGCGCAGCGACCGGGGCTCGGGATGCCACGGAGGCGGTGATGGCGGGGGCCGCCGCAGCGGCTAGGGTGGATGCCGGGGAAGCAGCCGAAGGAGTCCCTGCTAGGCGGTAGGGGCAGGGACAACGGCAGAGGAAGCAGCAGCAGCAGCAGCAGCAGCAGCAACAGGAGCACGTGCAGGGGCGGCTGCTGGAGCGGCAGGGATAGGAGAGCCACCGGAGGTGGCAGCAGCGGCAAGGCTACCTACGGCGGAGGAGGTGGCAGCAAAGGGAGCTATTGTACGCGCTCTCGCACGGGCTATTACCGGGGGGGGGGATGTATGCACGTCTGGCAGCTGCTGCGGCAGCAGCGGAGGAGGCAGAGGTAGGGGCCGCTGCGGGGAAGGCAGCCAGGGGGAGCGCCACAGGGAAACCAGCAGCAAGTGCTGCGGCAGGGAAGGCAGCAGCGGGGGCAGCGGCAGGGAAAGTAGCAATGGGTCCCGCTGTTTCGCAGGCAGCGGCTAGCAGGGCCGCGACAGCGGCGGCTGCGGCGGCGGCGGCGGCGGCGGCGGCTGCGGTGGTGTCAGCGGAAAAAGGGGCAGCAGGGGGTGCCGCACCGGGGGCAGCAGCGGAAGCGGCTTCAGGGAAGGCAGCAGCAGGATCAGCAGGACGTGCCGAGGGGGGAGACAACCGCCGGGGTAGCTGCGGGGAGGGCAGCAACAGGAAGGGCAGCTGGGGCGGCAGCAGGGAAGGCAGCAACAGCAGCACCACGGGCAGCGGCAAGAGGTGCTGCACGGGAGAGGGCAGCTGGAGCCGCTGCAGGAAGGGCAGCAGCTGCGGCAGCTCCAGCAGGAGGTGTGGTGAGAGAGACAGCAGCCGGAGCGGCTGAAGGTAAGGCAGTAACTGGGACGAGGGCTAAGGAGGCCGGACACAGGGCAGCACCTGGGCCGGAAGAGACTCTCATCCCCTCCCACCACCCCCATCTCCCCCTCCCCCCCCCTCCTTCCCCTCCTCCCCTACTTCCCTTGCGGTCCCCCGTCCCCCCCTTCCCCCCCTACTCCCAATCCCATGCATGCAGGGGCTTCACCAGCGGCGCAGGGCCCTCGCCGTGGGCTACAACCCAGGGCTATGGGCGGGGCGGCCCAAGCCTTGGCGTTTTTGGCGGACCCCTGTACACCCGAGCCAATGATCGGGACGCAGTCTCACCACTCCCTCTCCCCCACACCCTCCCTTACAGCCGAGTGTGCCCCACGAGGCGGCCGCCGAGGATGGCACGGACAATGATGGCCCGCTCGCCGGATATATCTTGGTCGACTCAACCCTTCCATGCTCTCCCCCACCAGCCCTCGCGCCGACGCCAGGATCACAAACAACAGCCGGGCGGGTTGCTCCCTCCCCCCCCCACCCACGCAGGCTGCCGCGCCGGACGCCTCGACTTGGGTAGCACAAGGAGGGGCGGCTCTTGCCCAACACCCTTCGTCAGTCCGCCCCCCACCCTGTTCCACCCCAGGTGCCTCCCGCCCGGCACAGGGCACACACCCTGTCGGCCACACGGGCGCTTCCCTTAGGAACGGTGAGCGGGGTGCACCTTTGGCAAGGGGGAGCAACCCGAATCAACTCCCTCTCGGCCCTCGCCGTCTCACCCCGGCTGATCCCACTTCCCAAGCCCCACAGCTAAGCTTCGGGCAAGGCGGGGGTCCCTCGGCGCCCACTCTGCCTCCCTTCCCGGCCGTGGGCCCCACCTTGCCCGCGCCCCGCCCCCCCCCTCCCTCTTCCACGCATCCCACCCGCCCCCTTTCCCTGGCAATCCAGCCGGAACTCCCATCGCGTCCTTTCGTGCAGCCCCCAGGTTTCATGTCCCGCACGGCAGGCGACCATGGGAGTGCCTCCCTCTTGGGCCCTCCCTTGTCACTTCCGTCTCACACACCCTCCAGCCCAGCGCCGGGGCACCCAACCTTCCCACCCCCTCCCTTGAGCGTCCCACCCACGCTTAACCCTTACCCTACTGCCCAACCACCTCTCTTGCCTTGCCCTCACACTCCCGCCCGGCCCATCAGCGCGAACAGGGGCGAGGCGAGGGCGACCCCCCCATCTCACCCTCCCCTTCCTGCCCCACACACTCCTTGCCCGTCAGTATTCAGGTGGTCGCAGCGAGCCACCCATCCGCGATGGACGTCGACAAAATGGGAGTAGGGGACCTGCATGATGTCTCCTCCCAACCCTACATCCCCCTTACCGTCGCTCCGCACAGGCAGCGATGTCGGCAGACGCCCAGGGGGAAGGAGACGGGGAAGGTGTCGGGGGAGGGCGGGGCATCGCGGATGGTGCTGCCGTTTCCACCTCCGCCACCACCCCTCGCTTTCCCCCCCTGTCCCCATCTGCACCCGCCCCAAGGCAGGCCGCCATCCATACGCAGGCTAGCCCATCGCGGCAGGCGGCCATCGGCGGCCACACCCCCTCACCCTCCCAGCTGCCCCATTCTCACACTCCTCACCCACAGCAGGGGGCAGTCACACAGCAGCCGCTGATTGGACAGTTTGCCCAACCCCACACAGGTCGCCAGAAGAAGGGCAAGGGCAAGGGGACACCCGGGGCAGCCCGGCGCTCGGAGCAGCCGGACACGACTCCTGCCTCTGCTGGCGTGCAGCCCTTACCATCCACCACCCCTCAGGCGACCCCATCATTGCCCCCGGCCCGCCACCCCACTGCCCTCCCATAACCAGGATGGCGAGCTTCGGACGGTCTCCCTCCCTCACCCACCCAGGCCCCACTCCCCTGTCACCCCCCCATCCCGCCTTTGGCCCCCTACCAGACGGTTGCCGCCGATGCCCCATCCGCGATGGAAATCGAACCGGAGGCGGAAGAGGTGTCGTTAGCCTCTCGCAAGCAAGCCTATATCCCCCCCCAGCGTCGGTCCCCACCACCCACTTCTTTGTCCCCCTCCGGTCCACAACCTCCGACGTAGGTCAGGGCACACGGTGGTTCGCCCACCACGACCAACCAGCCTGCCCTGCTCCCCCTACCCACAGGCGGACAGTCGCAGGGGGCAGATGGGGAGACGGAGGCGGCAGTTGCGGACCTTCTAAGGATATGGGACACGTCCGCCACCCCCTCTGCGCCCGCTTGTCCGGGTCGGGTGGGGGGGGGCGCCATGGACTCTGCTCCAGACATCTCCCATGCCCCCCCTTCCCCCCTGTCCACCGCCCTCACATCGGAGCGCATGGTGATCGATGACTCCGACGCGGACCCTTTTAGCTGTCTCCCAGCCGTCCGACTCCCGGGGATGTGTTTCGAGAGCGGTGCGGCCGATCCCACCACCGCTACCACTCGTCTCCTTCCCCACGTTCCCTCACTCGCCCCAGCCCCACCCCCAGGACGGCTCGGCGTGCAAGCGCAAGCGCACGCTCACCCGACGCAGTCACCCGTTGCCGGCGACCAGGCCCCCTCACCCTCCCAGCCCTCCCACCCCCAACCACAGCAGGGGGTGGTCACCCTGCGGACCTCAGTGGGACGACCTGGCAGCCCCGGTACAGGTCGCCGGAAGGGGAGCAAGACCAAAGGGGCATCGGGGACAGCTCGGCCGCCAGGGCAGACGGACACGAGCTCAGCCGAGATGGACATCGATCCAGAGGCGGAGGGAGCGGCACCAGCACCTCCCAAGCAGCCCTACATCCCCCCCCAGCGTCGACCTCCCCCTCCCATCTCTTCCCCCCCCTCCCGCCCACATTCCTCCACCCAGGTCCAGGGCCAAGGCGGCCCACCCACCATGACCGACCAACCCGCCCTCCTTCCCCCACCCACAGGCGGACAGTCACAGGGGGCGGACTGGGAGACGGAGGCGGCAGTCGCCGACCTGCTCGGGATCTGGAGCATATCTGCTACCCCCTCTGCGCCGCCCCTAGGCCCAGCACCCCGGGCCGCGAGCGACCCGGCCGACGACCCCCATGCCGCCCCCCCGTTATCTCCCTCCACAGCCCTCGCACCAGAGCGGATGGCTATCGACGACTCAGACGCGCCCCTTGGCCCCCCACTTGGCCCAGGCAGGACCACGCCTCCAGGCGACCGTACCTACGCTCAGTCAGCACACACGCACTCTGGCCCTCCCCTCGAGCCTGATGCAGCCCTTGCCCCTGCCACCATCCCCCCACCCCATACGGCCACATCTCAGGCTCCTATGGTCCCCCCTCCCAGCTCACATCCAGGAGGAGCGTTTTCGCGGCCCAGTGCTATAGACCCTCACCCCCCACCCACACCAGCACACAGCTTGACACCCGCGGCCGACCCTGCCACCGGTGTTTTCCCCTCCCCTCAGGATGCAGGGGCCGCACCTAGGCCCTCGGGCCCCCCGTCGACCTCTCCCCCTCTTGCGACATCGCCGCCGCCGCTGACCCCCGTCCGAACCCAGGTGGCAGGTGAGCCTCCTTCCCCAATGCCGGGCGACTATCGACCGGACCCGGTTGTCGAGCCGGCCGCCTCCACCGCCAGCTCGGGCGAGACCGCCCACACCGATCACGCGGACGAGTCCACGCCAGCCCATGAGGTGAGATGTCCCACGTGCCTTAACCTCATGGCGGACGATAGAGCTCTCCGACACCACACACCTCACTGCACCCCGAGCAATGAGGCACGCCATGTGCAGGCCCGCCAGGAGGCCGCCTCGGTCGGCGGGTCACTCTCACGTCCGGGTTCATCTGTCCCCGTCTTTTCCGACATGCAGTGGGCACAGCTGGACTCTGTGGATTGGAGGAAGTATTTCTCCCCATCCCGGACGCATGCTCGCCCGCTCCGGCGCATCCCGCCGAGGGTCCGCGGAGGCATCTCTGATGTCCTCCGTGCGATCACCGCCCGTATGGAGCAGTATCCGGACGCCGACGGGCCCCACTTCTTGTTTACGGCGGTGCCGACGCTGTTCTTAGCGCCGGCCACTCCACCAGAGCGGGGCCACACAGCTTCCATCGCGGCTCGCATCGCACGCTTCTTCCGAGGTGAGTGGGACCCTCTCTTCTCTGACGCGCTGCGTCGTCGCACGCCCCTGCCCACCCGCACATCACGTCGCACCCCCGGCACCGCCACGTCGGGAGACGAGCGTCGGATTGCGCATTGCCTACGCTTGGCAGCGTGCAACGAGACATCTCGTGCGTGCGCGGCACTGGAGTCGGCCGAGGCGGCTCCAGACACGGATCGCACGGTGCATAGCCTACGGGCTAAGCACCCTAGTGCGGAGCGCCCTCTACCGGAGTGGCTCTCCACCTTCCACGAGGGCGGCCTCGTGCTCTCGGCCACCCACCTGCGCCAGGCCATTTTCACTGCATCGCGGGGCTCGTCGGGAGGACCTACCGGATGGGTGGCGGAACACCTCCGCGACACCTTTTTGGCGTTCCCACATACCCTGCCCTCCTTGCTGTCTGTATACCAGCTCTGGCTCGGAGGACGCTGCCCCTCAGCTGCGCGCTCTCTATTGGCTTCGTCCACCCTCGTGGCTCTCGCGAAGCCGAACGGGGACGTGCGGCCGATCGCCATTGGAGAGGTGCTCGTGCGCGTCCTCTCCCGCGCAGTCTGCCTCCAACTCCGCGACCAGATGGCGAGAGTGTTCCTCGCGTCACAGCAGTTCGGAGTCGGGGTCACGTGTGGCACAGAGGTCACCGTTAGAGGCGTCGTCCGTGCTCTAGCCGACCACCCAGGCTGGGTGGTTCTGCAGCTAGACGTGGCCAACGCCTTTAACTCTTTCTTTCGCGACGTCCTGTTCCAGGCACTGCATGCCAGCCCTGAGTTCAGGTGTCTCATCCCATTCATTCGTCTTTTCTACGGCACGCCGTCCGATCTGATCTATCGGGCCGGTAGGGGAGTCACCACGATGCACTCGGAGCGCGGCACCCGGCAGGGAGATCCGCTGAGCCCGTTTCTCTACGCACTCACGCAGCGCCTCGCCCTGGAGCCCGTCCTGGCAGGTGGTGATGTCCAGCTCTGGTCGTACGCCGACGACACCTACCTCGTGGGCCCTCCAGACAGGGTGCTGCACCATTTCACTGAGGTCGTGAGGCGCTTGGGCGAGTTGGGCCTTGCTGTCCAGCCGCACAAGTGCCTTGTTCATCACACGTCCGCGATCCTGCCCAGCGAGGTGCAGGCTTTCACCGGTCTTGGCATCGAGGTCGCACGCCGGGGGCTCACCGTGACGGGCGTTCCGGTCGGCACCGATACCTTTGTGAGGACCAGCCTGCGCGACCGACTGGAGAGGATGGCTGGGGTGCTGCTGTGGCTCCCCAGGCTGCGGCAGCCACAGACAGCGGCGCCCCTGCTCTCCGCGTGTGTCAGCACACGTCCGCAGTACTTGGCGTGGACAGTCCCCCCATCACCAGAGGTACGTGCCATCTTTGCAGGGTGGGACACGCGCTTGGGAGCGACCTTCCAGCAGCTCCTCGTTCGAGGTACGTGGAGGGAGAGGGATGCGATCTGCGAGGCAGCCCTGGAGCAGGCTTTTCTCCCGATTCGCCTCGGGGGCTTCGGCATCCGACGCATGGAGCGCATCGCCTCGGTGAGTTATCTCTGTTCGTGGGCGCAGTGCGCACCGATTCTCTGCTCGCTGCCGTCGGTGGGGGAGGGCTTCCGTCAAAGCTTCGCATCAGGTGAGCCTGTCCAGATCGATCCGCACATCATGATGGCTCAGGAGGCCCTGCCGGCAGACGTCCTACGCCTCATGCCGGCCTGGCCTTCTTGCGCGACAGGAGCACCGGACGGCCTTTTCAAAGAGGCCAGCAGACACATCGAGGCGCACGCTTTGGAGTCGGTACGTGCCCGTCATACTGATCCCCTGCATCTTGCCCGTTTGACATCCCTTCAGGGTCCAGGTGCGGGAGCTTGGCTTACGGCGGTACCCTACGCGGACTCCCTGCGGGCAGGACAGACAGGACGGCAGCAGCGGCGGGATCACGAGAGGGGGGAGAGGCAGGCGGGTGAGGAGGGAGAGAGGCAGGGGGCGGAGGAGGAGCCGGAGGGGCAGCAGCGGCGGTTCGGCAGGGAGGATCAACAGCAACAGCAGGGCACGGGAGAGAGCTGGCGGGAGGAGGAGCAGCAGCAGCAGCGGTAGGGTGGCGAAGAGGGGCAGCAGCGGCGCGCGGGGGGAGAGGGGCAGGTACAGCAGCCGCAGGGAGCTCAGGCAGGGCCGCAGCAGGGGGCCCAGGCGGGACAGCAGCAGGAGACAGGGGACGGGCTCTTGGGCAGGGCACCACCGAGGCGGGTGCACTTCGCGAGCGAGGCGGGTGGAGAGGCGCACGCGGAGGGGAGGACACGCGAGGGTGGGCTAGAGAGGTCAGTAGTGGGCGGGGGTATAGGAGGGACGGAGGGCGGGAGGGGAGGGGGGGCGGGAGGGGGAGAGGAGATGGCGAAAGGGGCGGGGGTGGCAGGGGGAGTGGGGGAGGGGAGAGCGGGAGGGAGGAGAGGGAGGGTGAGAGGGGGAGTTGGGAGGGGGACCACGACGACCAGAGAGGGGGCATCAGGGGACCAGACAGAGCAGCAGCCCGCGCAGCAGCAGCAGACGCCAGCCGCTCGCACAGGCCGCATAGGGGCACCCGCCCGCATTCCCGACCTCACCTGCAGGGCGCCGCGAGATGCATTGATGGTGATTGTAGACGTCTCGGTGGCAGACCCACAGCGGGAGGGGAATGCGCAGTTCAGGCGGATGGCACCCACTCAGATTGGCGGCGCAGCAGCTAGGTGGGTGCAGGATAAGCTGCGACACTGGAGGCCGGTGTTACAGGGGGTGCAGCCGGATCCAGAGTTCTACGCCTGCGTAGTGGAGACTTTTGGGTGCCTGAGTGAGCCACTGCGGCAGTTCCTAGGGCTGTGTGCATCGCGGACAGCACGGCGGAGGAGAGATTCGGGGGCAGGGGATGACGGGTCGGCACGGATATTTGAGACGAGCCTCACTACGCGTCTCTCCGTGGCACTGCAGCGGGCGCAGGCAAATGTGATCATGCAGCATGCAGTGCGGCAGCTGGGCGGCTCCGACAATGGATGGATGCCAGCACCTGTACCTTTGGGCGCTGGGCAGGGGAGTTGGCACAACATCACAGGGTGCTTCGAGAGTGCAGCAGACATGCAGTATATGTATGATGCATATGTGTAAAAAAAACATATATAGGCCGTGCTTGAGACGCTGTGCCCGCGCTGTGCGCGTGGGCTGTTGCTTTGTTAGGTCCCATGATGTCCCTCTAATACAGTCACACCCCCCCCCCTCCCTCCTTCCCCTCTCCTCTTTCTCTCCTCTTTCTCGCTCTCTTCTCCCCCACTCTTTCTGCTAACTTCTTCCTTCCATTATCTCCTCTCCCTTTCCTTCTATATCTCTCTTCTCTCTCTTTTCTCTTCTATACCTCTAAACGCTACTATGTCATAATAGCGCAACGCTCATACCGAAATTCTCATCTTCGGCTTTAGAAATTGCTATATGACTTGTAACCCCCTTTATTTTTAATGAGAACACCTGAACCACTGCCGGCAGTCCGTTTTCCCAACTTTTCATCCCCTAGCAAAGCAGTCAGCCCCTTACACACTCGCACCTCCAGTACCCACAGTCGGGGCAGCTCAAGCAGCAGCGGAGGGAGAGATTTCAGGCCATTCATCTGTGAGATCTTGACCTCCTCGAGCGCCACCAGCCGTCCGACCCCCTCAGGCAGATCTTGTATTCTCGGGCAATTCTCGGGCGACGCGATGCCAAAGCTTGCAGACGAGAGCGCGCTCCGACAGGCCATCAGATCGAACTAGAGCGTAAAAGATTCAAGAAAGCATATCGTCGGGAGCTGTTGGACTGGCGATTCGACTGACATCGTAAGAGTAGGAGATAATGATTACCTTTCAATATTAAGTTAGGTCTGCCTCAACTACAAGGCTAAACCTGACTAGTTTCCAATTAGGTGTTTGCTAGAAGAGTTCGACGAAGGAAGCCCAGTCACCCAGCCCAGTCACTTGAGAAATCCTGCCCCAAAATTATGAAACCCTTGTCCTAGACACCGCTCTGCACCACCGATTTGTAACAACATGATTCGGTAAGGTACTGCACGCCTTCTGAATACTTATTGAAATATACATACCAACACTGGCTGTACAAATATGTGTCATCACAGCAAAGCCCCATTACGAATCCAACCACGAAAATCCAGAGTATTCTAGGCACCAGGCACGAAGTTCTGAGCGTAGGCCCAGGCGTTGTTGGCGGCGGGGTCGGCGAGGTGGTCGGCGAGGTTCTCGAGGGGCCCCTTGCCGGTGACGATGGCCTGCACGAAGAAGCCCAGCACCGCCACCTGCGCCAGCCGCCCGTTCTTCAGCTCCTTCACCTTCAGCTCCGCAAACGCGTCGGGGTCGTCCGCCAGCCCCAGCGGGTCGAACGCTCCGCCCGGGTAGATCGGGTCGTCCACCTCCTGGAATCCCTCCAGCCCGCCCACGCGGTAGCTCTCCACCAGCCCCAGCAGCACCACCTGCATGAGGCCGTCGGGTTACCATGTTACAAAAGGGCATAAAGTCAGAAACGTGTGCGTTACGCCGATCCGAGGTTTAGTTCATCAAGTGAGGAAAGAAGCGACTTGGGGAAAGAGAAACTGAGCGTGTTTAATGTGAGAGAGAGCAAGCGTCGGGGCGATCCTGAACGACGATCGACGGCAGAGATTGAAAAAATAGAAAGGCGAAACCATTGTCTCTGACTAACCTGGACGGCGAGCGTGGCGAGGATGCTCTGCGCGTGGATGAGACTGGGGTTGCCCAGGTAGTTGAGCCCGCCCTCGCTGAAGATCTGCGCGCCCGCCTTGAACCACACCGCCTCGCCCAGCGGCACGCCGTTGCGCGCCAGAAGCTCGGGGAACACGATGCCAAGCGCGCCGAGCAGCGCCCAGCGCGAGTGAATCACCTCCAGCTCGCGGTTCTTCGCGAACGTCTCGGGGTCAGCCGACAGGCCCGCCGTGTCCCACCCGTAGTCGCCAGGGAACTCGCCTTTCAGGTACGAGGGAGGCGAGGAGAAGGGGCCCAGGAACAGGCTGCGATCGGGGCCGTACCACTGGCTCAGGCTGTCCGCGGCCTTCACGGTCTTGCGCATCGTCACGCGGCTCTCCACATCGTTCACCTTCGCCGCGAGCTCGGCGCTCGACGCCGCGAAGGCGGAAGCGGCGGAAGCCGCGGTGGCGGAGGAAAGAGCAGCCATGATGATGGTGGGAGCTTGGAGATCAAGCCGAGTATATGTGGGCTGACTGCTGAAGGTTGGCTTGGGAGAGCTGGGAACTTGCTGGACGATTGTTAGAACTTCAGTTGGAGCAATTTATGGGCGACAGATCCATGGACGGAATTTGCCAAGGCTGAAGTTTGGGTTTGTGAAATCGAGTCGCGGTTTCACACAGGGAAGCTGATGGGTGCGAAAGTTGAATGGGCAAGGTTGTTCGCGAAGATCTCCTTGGCCTACAGACGTACGCCACGGCGACAGCTGTGATTTGCGAACTGCTGGTTTCGCGAATGCTTCGAACAGAGACTGGTGGTTTTTGGTATCCAGTGAATTTGGTTGGGGGATGCACGAGGTTGTCCAGGTTGAGTTTGTGCTTCACTACAAAGTTCCTCGATTTGGGAGGATATTGAGCTACCTTGTTAGGTACGTATAACCATTGTTGTGCGTAACGTGTCTTGGTAACCAGGCTATTTAGGAGGCTAATCTAGGGTTCCGACACTTCATGGCTGTGCGGAAATTAGAGGCCTCGCGAGAATAGGTGGTCCAATTAGGGAGTGATTAGTGTAGGAGCAGCACTATTGCTTCATTGCGTCACTTTTGGTCGGGTTCAGATCGGTTGTTTTCGGCTCCCCTTGTGATTTTCGTCGCATTTGACACTTGCATCTCGTCGCACTTCGCATAATGGTTCCACTTCGAATCTGCTTTTCGTCAGGGTCGCATCTGTCAGCCCTAAATATTCCACATCGATTTTTTTTCCACTGCTTGTTCTTCTCCCACTATGGCGGAATTTGAGAGTCATGGGCCTTGCGCGTATCGACCAAGTAGGCCTTCTCACACTGCGTGGGATAGCACGACTCTGGAAGCGTGAGGCTTGTAGACCGGGCAGCATATTGCTCGGCGGGAAGCCGAAATTATCCTCGCGATGATCTATGAAGAGAAGATTGACGGATAGGGGATATTGTTCGGGCAGCCAGGAGCAGCGGGAAACGATCGGCGAGGAGACACCATTCGCGATGATTGAGGGTAAAGTGTTGACCCGAGCAGATATTTCGCTCGAAGTGTTGAAGTCCGAGCGCAAATCTCAGGTAAACAGAAGTGGGATGGCGGAAGGAAGGGCAGACAGATGGATGGGGGGAATGGGTAGGGGGCACGGGGAGAGAGGAAGGGGGGGGGGGGGGGGAAGGTTGAGGGGGTGGTTAGAATGGTGTATGGACATTCTAAGCGTAGAAATTAAATGCAGAGGAAGGGTAACAGTTTAGAACGCCTTCCGCTGAGTGAACTAATGAGATTCGAGATCTGCTGCCTGGATTCGTCGTGAAGACCGATCTCCCCCCGGCCCTCATCTTCCCTCCCTGTAATCTCGGGCCGCCCATCGTCTCTCATCCCCCTCCTCCCAATCTAAACCTGCTGTGAACCCATACTTGGTGCCCTCCTACAATATCATATCTCCTCCCCCTCCTCCCAATCTCCATGGTCCCCATTCCCCTGCTCCCCATCCCCCTGCTCCCCATTCCCCTGCTCCCCACCCCCCTGCTCCCCATCCCCCTGCTCCCCATCCCCCTGCTCCCCATCCCCCTGCTCCCCATCCCCCTGCTCCCCATCCCCCTGCTCCCCATTCCCCTGCTCCCCATTCCCCTGCTCCCCATCCCCATGCTCCCCATTCCCCTGCTCCCCATTCCCCTGTCTCTCATCCCCCTGCTCCCCATCCCCCTGCTCCCCATCCCCCTGCTCCCCATTCCCCTGCTCCCCATCCCCCTGCTCCCCATCCCCCTGCTCCCCATTCCCCTGCTCCCCATCCCCCTGCTCCCCATCCCCCTGCTCCCCATCCCCCTGCTCCCCATCCCCCTGCTCCCCATCCTCCTGCTCCCCATCCCCCTGCTCCCCATTCCCCTGCTCCCCATCCCCCTGCTCCCCATCCCCCTGCTCCCCATTCCCCTGCTCCCCATTCCCCTGCTCCCCATCCCCCTGCTCCCCATCCCCCTGCTCCCCATTCCCCTGCTCCCCATCCCCCTACTCCCCATCCCCCTGCTCCCCATTCCCCTGTCTCTCTTCCCCCACGCCTCTCATTCCCCTGCTCCCCATCCCCCCTGCTCCCCATTCCCATGTCTCTCATCCCCGGTGCTTCTCATTCGCCTGCCTCTCGTGCCTCGCATTCAGAGGGAGTGAGAATGCAGAATGCTCAGGATATGAATGTTGTTGTTCCTCGTTCCTCGTTCCTCGTTCCTCGTTCCTCGTTCCTCGTTCCTCGTTCCTCGTTCCTCGTTCCTCGTTCCTTCCCTGCCTCCTTATGTTTCCCGCCCTCTCTCCCACCCTCCCTCCCTCCCTCCCTCCCTCCCTCCTCCCCCCTCCTCTAGGGCATACTGTGTAGGCACAGGTATTTGCAGGAAAGGCAAGCCACCCTGGTGCTGAGGCAACCAGCTGAGTCGCTGACCCCAAGAGCCCCAAGGGTTTCCTCGTCACTGCATCGACCCTTGGGGCTTGAGAAGTTATTCCCGTGGCAAATGTCTCGAGGTGCTGTCTGATGGAGAATTCAGTTGCAACAAGCCATGTCAGCAGCCCGCATGCCAGACGCAGGAGCTGCAGCAGCAGCAACAGCAGCAGCAGCAACTCTAGCAGCAGGAAGAACAGAGGAGGCCGCCATGAAATGGCGGCCAAGGGTTTAGCTAGGAAGTTGACGAGAGTGTCGAGAGAGAAGAGAATTAGATTAGGAAGAGAGAGAGTACGAGGGGTTTGTACCCTCTACAGTAAGGTTCGGTAACCTACCAAGCCTAACAATTATATTAAAATATAATTTGAACACACCCCCTAGGCTTGGTAGTGGCAAACCCACACAACCCACACACACACCCCCTAACCCCGGACACCCTCATTCTCGTGAGCAGCCGGGTATCGACCTCTCGTGCTAGGCTATGACACCCCCGGTCGAGAGGCAGCTGGCCGCATCTGGGCGGCCTCAATGACGACAGCGGCGGAGCTCGTGCTCAAGGCGGCTGTGTCGATGAGGACAGGCGGCGACT